GGACAGCCCCCCAGGAAGCCCCCAGGACAGCCCCCCAGGACAGTCCAAGTGCCGTGATGCTGTTGTCCTCAGTGGGGGTCGGCAGGGGCCATGGGCCCCACGGAGCTGTTGTATCACCGCTAAGCGTCACCAAGGAGCTCCTTGGGCCCCACCCCCTGTGGGACCCTCTGGTGGCGGGCACAGGGAGGCCCTGTGAGGGTTCGGAGTGCAAGTGGGAACTTCCCCGCCCATGGCCCACTGCTGGCTTGGCCAGGCACAGGCTCTATGCTTCCTCAGGGTCTCGGGGCCGGTGGGGGACAGCGGGGGGAACAGCTCGCCCCACACACTGAGGTGTGCAGCTCGGGGACCAGCAGCCCAGTGCTGACGGCTGCCCCTTCGGGGCCCCAGGAACCAGAGGTGCACCCTGTGTGCAGCTGTGAACACCCCAGGAGACCCACGTGGCCACTGCAAGCACAGGCGCCCCGCCCTCCCCCCCCACCGAGTGACCAAGCTGTGGCTCTCCCACTGCTGGAATGCCTCTGCCAAGGCTGCCGTCACAGAGCCAAGTGCCCGAGACCAGACACGGTCTGCTCTGTACCAACCCCAGAGACCACGGTGGGGGGCAGCGCTCACTCAGCCCAGGCGCCACACGGCAGGTGCCTCTGCACCCCAAGAGAGCCCTGTGGTGGTCAGCTGTCCTAACTCCTGGCAGCTCCCCTCCTCACCAGGGTCACCACGTCCCCAAGGGCAGGGGAGTAGACCACGACCCCACAGAGGGCCCAGGCACCTTCACACTCTGCTCTGGCCTCCTACCTGGAGAGAGGAGATACCCCTGAAGCCCCTGGGTGATTACCCCATTGTCCCACTGGCTGAGCCTGGGTCACATGCTCACCTCTGAACCACAGAACCATAGGACTGGGGTCTCGGGAATGAAGGGATGGACATTGGGGAGGCCACGATGGGGCCCATCACTGCCCACGAGAACCCGCCTGGCGCCCCACTCGCTCTGATCTCCTCTGCCCTCAGCCACAGAGTGACCACTGCCTGCATCAGCCCCTGAGCCAGCAGTCACACCCTCATCTCTCTGGGCCCCATTGTTCCCCGGGCCTTGTCTGCACCCTGTCTGAGCATGCCTCCCCCAAACCTCGTGCCTCTGCTATGCACACACAGCTCCCACGGAGCAGTGTGAAGGTGACTGGGTTGCAGCTGTAAGATCGGAACACAGGCTGTACCCTGTTCTGAGGGAAGCTGCTCCCCAGCTCCTAGAATGTGGATAATGCTCCTGCAGGGCGCCTAAGAGTAAACACCCACAGGGCTTCAAGGTGATTCTAAGACCATGGTGTTCTGGCAATTTGACATGCTTGCCGAGAAGGAAATAAATGCAAACTTCTGCTCCAAGCATAAGGGTGAACTCAGGAAACCTGACAACTCTCCCACAGCAAACACCTAAAAATAGCTTGCTAAGCACCCAGGAAAGAGAATTACATCTGCCAGAACAAGGAGGGAACCGAAAACGAGGCGCAGTGAGCATGCAAGGGGATCCCAGAGCTGCTTTGGAGGGTGCTGATGCTCCATAAGGGCAGGAGACGAGGCCTGGGGTCCCCTGAGCTGGAAAGTGTAAGTTGAAACCCTGCAAGGGGTGTCCCTTGGGGAAAGGGTGGGCCAGGAAAACATCTACCCACTGCTGGAAGGGGACAAGGCCAGCGGTCTGTCTGCCTGGACTCTGGGAATAAAAGCAAAGTGACTCCTAAAAACGTGAAATCTGGGGCCTGTACCTCTCCCGGGGTTTTAATTTATACACGTGGTCCAGCAAGCTCGTCCCAATCTAGTGACACCACTGAGGGATCTTGCAGAACAAAAACTCAAGGGCTCTTTAACTGCTCTGTAGGGACACTTGGGCCCCTCGGCCACCAGGGGGCAAAGTTCCACTAAAATGAGCTCACAACGAAACATTACAGAACACACAAGGGAGCATCCACCATGAGTGATAATCTCCCCAACTGGGATGATTCCAGCTCTGAGCACGCGGACTAATAGGACATCAATTTGGGAATTAATATATAAAATAAGTATGTCTAAAATTATGAATGAAATAAAAGAAGAATCAAAACTAAGAAAAGAGCAAGACATTGTGGGAGGAGGGGGAGGCAGATCTGAAAAAGAACCAAGGAGAACTTTACAAATTAAAAATAATCATGGAACTAGTCAGCACATCTCAGCAGCCCCATCACCCTGGCCGAGCCACCCACAACGCATCGTCACTGCAGTGACTTCCCCTGGCCTCTCTGCTTCTGCCTCTGGCCCCTGGTGGTCATTTGGGTGGTTGTCACAAATGCCCATGCTCTAGCTGGACACTGGGCAGCATGGCCCTTTTCTGCTCACTGGAACCCAGGAGCGGCGCGTGACCAGCTCTGGCTGATGAAGTGTGAACAGAAGTGACGCAGTCCCTCCAGGCAGGAGCTTTAGGAGCCAACCACCAAGCAGAGAATTCACATTTTTTCCCCAGCGTACTCGGAACACTTCTACAAACTAACCGCAAAGCAAGCCTCAACATACACCAAGAACGAAAAGCACACAGGCCGAGCTTTTCCACTGCAATGCAAGGAAACTAGAAACAAATAAAAAGATACCAAAACATGTTTCTATACTTGTTTGGAGATGAATAACACATCAGTCAAAGGAGACATCCCAAGGAAAACTGGACAACAGAAGAGACAGACGATGGAAATTCCCCAAATCAAAACGGTGACATTGGGCGGGAGCAGCGCCTAGAGGCCATCCACCTGCCAGATGCACAGGTTGGAAAAGAAGGAAGACTGAGAATTAATGACTTAGCACCTGCTAAGAGAACTCAGAAACAGAACAACAGAGAAAAGCTGAAGGAAGAAGGAAACTTCAAAGAGAAATGAATGAATTGGAAGGGGCACTTGCCTGCACCACCTGTGCTGGCAGTAGCCGGGAGTGGACCTAGTAGACAGAGCAGTGAAGTAGCTCTGGGCACAGACACGCACAGGGGCCATGGGGCTCTTGTTTCTACCGGGGCCCAACAGTCCTGCCCCAGGGCCCTACCACCCCACGTGTGCAGAGACCCCGAGTCCACACCTACCACCTTTCATGTCAGACACAGAAGTCACATGAGGCAGCTTTGACAACTCTGCCCCAGGGTCCACACATAAGATGCCACCCAGGTCGTACCCTGGCTCACCTGCTGCAGCTCCCTTGTGGGCCACCGTGTCTGCAGTGCCTGCAGGAACAGGAGCGGGTCCCGGCCTGTGAGGGACAGAGGACAGACAGGGTGATGGGGCTGCTGCAGAGAAGCGGGGGAAGCCTGTCCCACCGACCTCCTCCCTGTGGCCAACAGCCTACTCTGGCCAACACGACAGCACTCACGCCCTTAATCCCTGGCCGCTTGCACTCATAGCCTCCCTGCGGCCAGCGGCCTTCTCTGGCCCGGCGCTCTCTGGGCAGTCTCCACCCACAGCCCAGCGGCCCTGGCTTCACCTTTCAGCCGCAATGGCTGCAGTTTCCAGAGCAGGGAGGGGACGTTGGGCCACCAAGACCAAGCCCAGAGCTGAGCAGACCACCCACCAGAGTCCACACTGAGTCACAGCACGGTCACCCCAGCCACTGCCCACAAGTGGTCCCTCCCACGGTCTTTGCCTGCCCACTTCTATCCCTCCTCCCTTCGCTCCCCTTCCCCTCACCCTAACCCTAACCTCACAAAGGCCAGCTGCTCCCCAAAGCCTCCCGACCACCACAGCGGCATGGCGTACTCCTGGAGCCCCAAATCACAGTCCCCTACATTTGGTGGTATTCTCTCTTGCCTTCCAGCGGCAGATGGGACAAGAGCAGTCCCCCGGGCGCATGCGGAGGGGCCCACAAGATGGGGCACTCAGTCCTCAACTGGCTGGACAATCCTGCCACACGTCCTGGGGGACACCAGAGCAAACCTGTTGGGAAACTGGGCCTAGGGAGGTTGGGGGTCAGCAAACGTGTGCCAGCAACCAATGTCAACACCAAGGAGAGACACAGATCTCTCTGTGTGTTAGGGAGGAAAGCTGCCTCTCACCATGACCTCATCACTTCCTTTCCACCTGTCTGCACCTACCCAGAATCTGACCACAGCCACACAGTGGGGGCTGGGGATAGGATCAGGGTCAGGATCAGGACCCCAACCATGACCACACATGTTGGGTGCGGGGGTTACTAACACAGACTCTTCACTCTCCAGGTCAGATTCAGAGGAAGACAGGAGCCCGGGGGCTTCCCCAGCCAACTCTACCTGCTGGGGCTCTCTCAGGGGGCAGGACAAAAAGGGGAGACGCCTCAACGCCCCTCATGAGGCCAGTGGGACCTGCAGACAGACCTGCCGAGAGCGGTTCACGAGCAGTCGATGGCACCACGCTTGCTGAACGCAGGCCGGGATCCCCCGGCTATGGATTTAATTGTGTCCCCAAAAATATGTATTGTGAATCCCAACCCCTCTACCTGTGGTTATAATCCCATTTGGGAATGGGTTTTCCTTGTTACATCAATGAGGAAGTATTAGCGTAGGCTGTGTTTTAAGTCAATCTCTTTTGAGATATAAAAGAACAGATCAAGCATAGATGGCGAGGTCTTACGATATACACCACATGATCGCCAAGGACCTGCCCCCAGAGCCGACAGAGAGCCCTTCCCCTAGAGCCGGAACCCTGAATTCAGACTTCTGGCCTCCTAAACTTTGAGAGGATAAATTTATATTCATTAAAGCCACCCACTTGTGGTACTTCCATTATAGCAGCACTAGATAACTAAGACACCCAGTAAGACCCAGTGACCAGGCCCTGCAGCGTGGACACAGACCCCAATCCCGGTAAGACCCAGCGACCTGGCCCCACAGTATGGACACAGGCCCGATCCCAGTAAGACCCAGCAGCCTGGCCCCGCAGCACATGCAGGAAGGAGAGCAGGTCGCTGGGTCTTATCGGGATTGGTCTAAAAACTGATTGAACACCTGAAAGTCTGCCAGAGTAACTCAGGCCGTCACGGGACAAAAGAGAAAAGCTATACTGTCCTCTCAACGGACTCATTTCACACAATTAGATTCTGCTCCTGATTTTCAACAGGTAACTCAGCACACTAGAAGAGAACTTTCTTAATTGGATAAGAGGCAGCTGCAAAACACCTTGAACAAACCTAACACCTCATGCCAGGTGTCCCCTGTGAACCGGACCCTCCCAGGGATGCCCACAACTTCCAGCCCACAGCAACCCAGGTCCTGGCCGGTGCAGCAGGGCACCCAAGAAAGTAAGGTGTAAAATTTGGCAAAGGAAAAATAAAAACATGATTACTCACTGGCAGTGGGAATGATCGTGCAGAAAGCCGTGAAGAATTTACAGATAAATTACTCGGATTAATCAGAGAGCTTAGCCCAGATCACAGATGCTCAGTGCAAGCCCAACGTACAAAAATTTGTTTTCCTGTCAACTAGCAACAAACAGAAAATGAACACTAAAATGAAATCAGTGAATTATCATTTAAAAATTTCAAATTCCTTGGGACAAATCCAACAGACAATATTTATGCAAAAAGTCATAAAACATGGAGAAAAAATTTAAAAATAAAATAAAGGAAGGGCCAGGCCATATCGTCAATGATGTGAACTCGTCCAGAATATTCCAACAAAACAGCAACAGGCTGTGTGTGCGTGCGTGCCTGCGTGCCTGCGTGTCCATGTGTGTATCTGTGTCCTCCTCCAAACTGTCCGCCCCTCCACCCAGAACGCTCTTCCTTCAGCCC